ATTTGAGGTCTGTCAAACACAAAGCAGCAGGGGAGAGCTATTCAAGCTCTTCAGTTTTACAGTGATTAAATTTCTGCTGTGTCCTCCCTGTCTCCTGGCCACTACTGCTGACAGCTTCCTGTCCTGCTTCATGTGCTTCTTGTAACAGGAAGAGCTAGCAGAAACAATGGTGCCTAGTCAAGAAAAGACTAAATCAGAACACAGATAGCTCACAGTAAGAGATCATTTCCTTATCTAAAGAGCCCAGATTGCCTCAAGCAACTTATTCCAAAACATTTCATTCCTGTTCATGTACTAGCAACAAGATCAGTACATGATAAAGTAAGTGGAGGGACAGGGAAGCGTGTTTTAAAGGCCTGGCCATGGCTCACCATACAAAAGGAATTCAGGCAAAGCTTCTTCCCTTCTTAAATTAACCCGCTCTATTTGATCTTTTTGCAACATCCCACTTCTCATCATTAAGCTGACTGTAATGTCAAATAAATATTCATTTATGCCATCAGCAGACTTATCCAACATCAGAAATAAGTTGATTAGAAAGATACACTTATTTACAAACATCTTTTAATCACTGAAAGAGAATAGTCAGCATCTGCATAACACCCTACTAAGCATCTCCAAGCACTACAGAAGTGCAGTTAATAACTTTCAGCTACTGGCAAAGCAGAGCTCTTTAGAGATAAATATGTGGGTATTAGTCAGAAAGATTAGGACCTAGGAGTCCGCCTCCACCAACTAAGGAGCTAGCAACATCAATTTAAATAAATTTAGTACATAACTAAGAAGTTGTAACCATCTTTCCAGTTACCCTTAGTTAACACAGGGACAACTATCGCCTTTAATTCAGAACATAAAAAGGCCATTCAATATCCACCCTGTTGAGCATACCTTTGTCATGGTGGTGCCAGCCACCTGCATAGTAATCTTGGAGAACTTGAGGAGGGTTCCAGGTGTCTAGAATGTAGTCTACCTGGTGCTGCTTACGCCATGTCAGCGACTGGCAAAGGATCTCTCTTGCTTTATCAATGTTGAAGTCCCGGGCACGCAGGAATCTTAAAATGTGCTCATCCTTTGGGATCTATTAAAAACAAAGACACACGCACAAAACCCCCACAAATCCCCTTAATTTTGTATTCAAGGTTTGAAACAACAAAAGAAAGAAACAACAGAAGCTGAAAAAATGTACAGCCCTGCACCAATGCAAGAGTAACAGTGGAAGTTACTCAAGCAAATCAGTCTTTGTTTGCAACAAAAACACGAGCCCTGTCAGGTACTGCAGCTGCCTTCATATGAGGGATATAAAAATTTCATGAACTCCAATGTAATCATTTACACCTGTATGACCATACTAAGTCAGCCCAATTTAAATGAACCTAGGGACAAAACACAGACTGTATTTTATTGCTAAGTAAAAGGAAGCTGAGACAACATGCAAATCACAAGCCACTGAAAAACCCCCAGCCTTGCTATCAGTGATTTAACTGGCCACATTGCTTCCCTTTCAGTATTGCACTTAGGGACATAGACTTGAGTATACAATGTTTGGCCAAAACAAACAAATGTAAAAATAAGGTTATTGTAGAACCAGGCAGACTTATAAAACTGATGTTATTCCCCTGTGCTGATTTATTGACATCCTGAGAGGCAGTCACACTGCTCATTTAAGCACCTCAGCTGGCACAGTCAGCTGGGCAGTCACAATGAACTACTTCTACTGCCACCATATAGACTTCATTTAGGTACTCTGTTTTGATCACAGAGGGCCACTTAACAGAACAGTTAGCCACAGGAGGTGTGCCATGATGTTGTATCAGGTCCTCCTTCCATATCACACATTCTGAGAGAGCCACAAGAGACCAGCAGTAACTTACTTTGCCCTTGTGTGTCTCCTGGAGCCACTGTCTCAGTCGAATGAGGCAGCTTTCCTGCATTGGCGTCAAGTCACCCAAATAACGCTTGATGTAGTCTGCATCTAGCTTGTCTGAAAGGAGATGTACAGGTGATTAGAGTTCTCCTGAACTGACCTAGTCGAAGTAGCAAATGATCTTATATGCTGATATCTGAGGCAGAGAAGCAGCTGCTCTGCTGTGCAGTCGGAGTTGAATAAAGTTTCTTTGATTCAATGAAAAGATGAGCAAGGCAATGTACTCAGTCATCTTAATGTTAAACCAAGAGGATTAATTCTCCTTCTGCTACCAAGTGTCGCGTTAAAGGTTAAAGTAATTTGGAGTGATGCCCAATTTGTCATTATAAGTCCGGTCGCATTCAACATACTGAACTATCACAATTATGGATGCACAAATAACACAATACACTTCAGTCTAGTTGCGTTCCATGAACTACCATGGCCACGCTTAAAGAGTTTGGTTGCATTCAGTGAGAACTATCACAGCTGGATTAATGAATAGCACAGTTTATGTAGTGCAACAGAAACACAGGTTCTTTTGGATTGCCGGTGATAAATTCACTGTCTGCAAAGCATGTACAAATACCAATAGTATGAATAAACACGTTAAAAGATATAAATAAATAAAGCGACTCTATAGAGATTTTCTAAGTTTCCTGGGGAGGCACTTGGTATAACCAAGTGTTCAAACCTTACCCAAAGGCGTCCCAATGGGGGGGGAAAGAGAGGTTCATTCCGTCGAGTGATCCCAGACACGAGGATGGTATCTTCTCATACGTGATGGTATCTTCCCTAACATCCTCTCTCCCTTAAGCTATTTTACACCATTTTTTACCTTTCAGGTGGAACTTGAATGACTCTAGTCATATGTACCTTTGTTATGATTGGTGTAAAATTTTCTTGCTTTACTTTTGAAGGTATAGACTAGAAAAATTTTAAAGCGCAAGCTCAGTGAGGAGTGGTTACACCTTGGAATCGGGCAGCTTTTGGGATGGAGGTGTGTTTTGGTATTATAATGATATTATAATGGACAAAGTTCACCATAAGGACAGCATTTTGTCAGAGACATGACAGACCATTGGCCACGGGTAGCAAATATACAGATTATTGGTTCCATTGTACCTTCAAGTTCCCATATTGTATAGAGCCTGGCCACAGTGTCTCCACTCCGCTCCACACTCCATACAGTAGAGTCAGCACACCAAGTTCCCCCACTGCAGCTAACATCTAAGGTTGCAAGAACTTGCATGGAATGGATTTCTTTCATGTCAGCCACACTCCACCCTGGAAGCTGTGTCAATGCTGTACCCTTCTTTAAAATGTCAATATAAGTTTAATTTCTAAGTCACCTCTGGCAATTATTCCACACTAAGAAAGGAGTAAGACCAGGCATTTATAAAAGCACTTTACCAGTATATCCAGATTTGTCAATCCACAGCACCATAGTGCTTGCTTTTTTTGGAAATACTTAAGAGAAGCTTTGATCCAAGTCTCCCAATGCAAGAATTTTCCCAAATTCCCTTAACAGGGGAAGGAAAATATAACAGAAGACTGTCCAGGGAAGCTTCAGCCCTTTTCTCCCCATTATTCCTGTAGTTATACCCGTCCCTGAATTTCAGGGCAAGAAGTAGGCCATCCATTTGCAACCTAATGAACAGCAAAGTGAAGGATTTTTCCACTCATATCTGATCTTCATTTACTAAAAAGACCAGCTCATAACAGCTATCCCACATTACTGATTTGCAAGCCTGCACTTTAACATTGTATATTACCAAAGACCCAAAATATTTTGTGAAGATTTCCAGCTACCAATGAGAAGCAGCACAGTGCTGAGAGCCTCTACAGTACAAAGAAACCCCCTAAAACAAGTCAGACCACTGTACCATCAGGTGTTCCTGCTGTGGGCTCCGAGGGGCTGCTTGAGGTGTTGAGGTTCTCCTTATTGTTCAAGCCCTCCTTTGTAGCAGAGTCAGGTATATTAATGGCAGGTGAAACTGGTCTTCTTGTGTGGGATGTGCTGCTCTCCAATTTACACGCAACAGGAGGAGTCCAACGAGGAACGAAAGTTATTCCTTCCTCCTCCAGCTGCTTCAGGTAGTATTCTATTATTTCCTTCCCCTTCAAAAAGGAAAATTCACTTCAGCTACTAAAAACACCCATTTAGACACTATCCTGGTTTCAGCTGGGCTAGAGTTAATTTCTTCCTAGTAGCTGTCATAGTGCTGTGTTTTGGATTCAGTACTAGAAGAATGTTGGTAACTCACTGAAGTTTTAGTTCTTGCTAAACAGTGCCTAGACTAGTCAATGACTTTTTCAGCTTCCCACGCCAGGGGCACAAGAAGCTGGGAGGGGGCACGGCCCAGAGACTTGACCCCAACTGGCCAAGGGGCTATTGCACTGAGCATCACTTGTTTTGTATATTTTGTATATTCTATTATTATTATTACTTCCCCCCCCCTCAACTGTTCTATTAAACTGTCTGTCAACCCACAGGTTTTACCTTTTTTTTTTCCCCCCTGATTCTCTTCCCCATCCCACTGAGCGAAGGGGGCAGTGAGCAAGTGGCTGCGTGGTGTTCAGCTGCCTGCTGGGTTAAACCACAACAGACACAGAAAGGATTGGGCTGGAAACCCCTTCAGTGGCCAGACCTCTCTGAAGATTCCACTTCAAAATAAAGACCTACACACAGGGTGCCCCAAGCTAAAGAGTAAACATCCCAGCTTTCTGAGCAGAGCAGCCTGTTACTTAGCAGCAGCTACATTGTCTTTTGGTAACTTAGAGCCAGGCACCTCCTTCATGACTGCAAGCTCACCTTTTTAATATTGCTGGTGTACTGCTTCATGGCAATCTTTTCCACTGTGCTTTCAAAACCAAAAAAAGACTTTATATCCAGACTTGCTGACTGTTCAAAACAGGTCCAGTCTTCATTGTCAGGATGAACCTAGTTAAAAGGAGGGCATACAGTTTAGCTTTCCATTTAGTTTTTTTTTTTTTCTCACAACATCTGAAGTTATGGTTTCTTATTTTTCAGGTTCACACACTCAAAAAACATTCAATTTGCAGTCTTTCACTTCATTTGCAAAACATGGTTTGGAAAAGGTAATGCTAAAGAACAAAAAGCTGAGAAGCCCTCCTTACAGTGCATTTTTTTTCTTAACAAGAGAGGGTCGAGAAATACCAGTGCACCAGCCAATAACCAAATGACCAGGCACATTTATACAATTAACACTGTCTCATGCTAGACAGGGGCTGTAACTGTAGTGTATCTGTGGAACAGTGTAAAATACTCCACAGTGAACTTGCTGCTGCAGGTTAGACTGACAGACCAAGGCCAGCTAGCTTAAAGACTGCAGCAAGTACAGTGTAAACATTTCCAATCACTGCAGTCTAGACAGGTTTGCAGACATACTGCAGTAGATCATTCCCTCATTGACCTACGAAATACTTTAGTATTTGGTAGGCTGAAAACTATTTTACTCCATCTCCTATGATAATTCACACAGAAAGAAGTGTAAGCCTCTCATTCTGTTGACAGCTGAATAAGCTATCTTAGAGCACTCACGACTTTCTTCTTAGCTTAGAATCTTAGTTTGCTGAGAGGTGATCCTGAAACAGAGAAACAACTGAAACTACTCTGAAGGAAAGCTGTTTTCTAAACTCTCTTCAGCTACAAAAAAAAGACTTGCTAAAGGAAGTTCCAGGCTGGGCTCTGAATTTGTAGTTATACAAACATCACGGAAAGCTGGATTTCTGAGCATGCAATCGATGTTTTAAAGTTCCCCCCACCACCACCTCAAAACATGCTAAAATTGACTGGGAACAGTATCAACACTTTATAATGAGACAAGTAGAGGAAAAAAAGCCATATCCCTTCATTTGCTTCTTCTACATTATGGAATGGGGGGGTATAAGAACAGCCTAAATAAGTACAAATCATAATAATAACATTTAAGAATCTTCCTGTCCTTTCATAAATTCAATTATAAAATAACTTTAATAAGAATAAACTTTTAAAAACAACTTATTCTTGAATTAAAATTCTGGCTTTGTAGTTATGTACTAATTCCTCAATTGAGTAGAGCGAGGGCAATGAAGTGTTGTGTTTTGTACATGTTTATCATATGCACTTCTCTGTATAGCATTTCCCCTGTTTAAACAGAGCTTTCACAAAAAGACTGCAGGTGGAAAAGTATTTTTAAATGTGCCTTGGAAATAATTGCAGAAATAATAATAAAAACAATCAGATAATAGTGTGAAGCAGGTTTGACATCCAGTGACCTTTTAACCATGATTCTGTACACAACAGAAAATGTTATCACCTGCATGTGAAAAGAATGCTACAGTAGAAATAAATTGGTTACATTTGCCAGCTTTGATTTGACCTTTAATATCGATTTGAAGTTTTACTGCTATACATGTGTGCTGTATGAGCCTGAGTATTGCCTAAACCATTCAGAAAAAACCATGACCAGAGCACAGCAGTAAGCATGCCACCGACTCCCGTATCAGAAAACGTCTGCACTGAAGACCAAGAACAGCCACAACAGAAAGAATTAGGTTAAAACATAGCTGACTCAATGAACATTTGTCTGAGCTGAGCAGAAGGCAAATAAGCTATGCTGAACTTTCCTTTAACAGTTCTGTCAGGGTATCATCATCCTCACCAAATCCCACCCTGCTATTACAGACCACAGATTTGCCTAAACAGAGCTGTCAAACACAGCAAATTTTGTCATGTTCTGCTCTCTGAGAAGACATTCAAAGCTAGAGGGTGCCAAACTTGTTTCAGTTCTTCAAGCAAGTGTGATACATTTAACACTAACAACAATTATCACTCATGGTGGTGTGTTGGTTATTTTTTTTCTTGCAAGGCAAAAGCCAAGAACAACCCAACTTCTGTGTACAAGCCCTGAAATCTAAACACTGACTTAGCTCCATCTGCAGCACCACCAAGAGCCTGTTACTCACTGTGTAACAGCAATGTTCATTAATAATGACTCTATTAGAGAAGGTTTCATTGTAGGCTTCTATATGCAAAGTCCGTTCTCGTCTGTTCAAAGAATTCTTCTGGACAAAGTAGACATAATCCACTCCTGCAATCTGAGGAAGATGACACAGATCCCATTAAGATACAATATTCATGTGAAAGGACATCCAAAAGTGTAAAATATGCACTTCAAACCTTATCACCTTTTTCAATAGCCGTGGTGCATCTATATCCAGCTTACAGCGCCGTTCAATCACATGGATAGCTCCATCCTCGCTCTTGTATTCGTTTACAGTGTCACTGGCTACAAACATAGGGATCAGGGGACACGTAGGAAACCTTCTTTCATATGCCTATAAAGATGGGAAGAGAAGAAAGCAAACTATAATCACAATTAATTCCTGAGGGTGTGTGTAGGGTTCCTTCATTGACATCACCAGCATTTGGGGGCACAATGCCCTTCATATCTTCCATAGAAGGGACTGAGCCTGCTTGGAGTCCACATTATAGCAGGGAAAAAAAGTCACAGTGCATTCCAAACAATCCATTTATTAACATTCCTAATATAGCCCTTTCCAGGTAAAACAATTTTTTTAAACACCACACGAAATACCCTATTTCTCCCCTCCCTCCAAAAAGGAAATTGTTCATTATGTACAATGACAATCCTCTTGTCAGCAATAACAGGAAAATAAGACCCTCTAGTTCTAAAATACCACAAGACAAAACAATTATATGTTGGATTAAAAAAACCCCACATGCTAATTATCAGTGTTTCACAGAGCTGTCTAGAGGGTTTCCATACAGCTCCCAAAGGTCTAATAAAAACATTTCAAAGCCTGTTTCTTAAGCTAATAGAGCTCTCAAGCTTCCTATGCACAGAGTATGCTTAATGATTTCACTGCACAGTTTATCAGCTTACGATTTTGTCCAACAACATACAGTAGGTCTTTCCAATACAATGAGACCATTTCATACTTTGGAAAATTTAAACTTTCTGCAATAATGCAGAGCTAGCAATAGCTTTGGTTCTGGTTAAAGAATACAGTCGGGTTCACCTCAAATACTTGACACACACAAAGAAAATGGTATTTAATAAGACACACTTGGAAAATCCCAGTTAAGAATCTGGAATCAGTAGAACAGGTAAGAGGAATTTCCTCTGGGGAGTTATCCCCATTAGTAAACTTGTTGAATTTTAGTTTTAGAACCACCAAAGCTGAAGAATACAACACAGCTGGGGGCTTTTCCCCCCCTTTCTTTCATAGTCACTAGTGTACCTCCACTTCTCTTTGGCTTTTTTTTCCTCGTGGGGTGGCAGTAAAGTAACTAATTCTCTAGCCTTCTTTCCAAATTCTGAATTCCTTTCATTTATTGCTATGGTCAGAACCTAGCTGGCTTTGGTGAAAAGGTAGGATTTGCAAGGTGTCCCAATGCGGGAGAAAACTTCAGTAACAAAGTAAATCTGAGAGCAGAACATCAGACAACTCTTTAAAAGAGCTAAAATACCCACTCTGTCCTTTTACATAGTTCTAACTGCTCTCAATATAGCTGGGTTGCAGGACAAGAACAGCACCAACAGGGAGAGGGTGTGGAAGAAAATAAGCAGCAGCTGCAGAAACTATGCAACAGTGGCACTGGAAAAGGTCTCTTAATTCTCCCTTTGTAAGAATAAAAATGCCTAGTTTGAACACGGTGTTACTATGGTGACAGCAGTGTAATGCACTAAAGCAGTGTCAGCTTTTTTCCTCCTCGTGCATATTTTTAAACCATTTTTGCAGCATGATTGTCCTGAGTTCACAAAGCTCCTCTGTAACGTACTGGAAGTACAACCCGGGAGCGAGTACGCATGCTCCCTTTTTCAAACTTTTCATCTGTGCACAGCTGGTTTTGTTTAAATTAAGACTAGAAATAATTTCTGGGTTCAGAGATGCGTGCACAATAGAAGTGACAGAGCATTAGTGTTGTAATACAATAGCAAGCAGTGAGAAAAAACCTTTCACAGCTCCAAGAGAAAGGGAGGATGGGTCCTATTAGTATGGTATAAGAAGTTTCTCATTTCTTTTATGAGGCTCTTCTTGTTCTGGACAGGCGGCTGTACATTTTACAGTCGTTGAAGAATATCTCAGCCCCCTCGCTGAGTAAGTCTCAGCATTCTTTCTAACTTAATCCCTATTTTAACTATACTGACTGTAGTTAAATGTTGTCCTAAGTCAGCAAAAGAAAAATTTCCCAAAGCAGCAGAATTGAGAAGTACTTCTGGTTTCCAGATTGTTTCATTTAATATTTTTATTTTATTTGAGGACCTTATGTTACAACAACTACTTTATAGACAGGAGAGCAGGGGAAGTGGATATCTAATATTTTTCTCACTATTTTAAGAGTATTTTTACTTTTGAATCACAATGAATTTCCCCATCTGAGTAGCCTCCTCTATGTTTTTGCCTTTGCAAGTCTCCTTCATTGCACATACTGATGCATTTCTCATTTTAGTCCTCAGAACACTTCCCATTTGCCCTCTGAGCAATTGCAAATTACAACATTACCTGCTCAGAAGTGTTTATTGAACTGTGAGCAAAAAAAAACGCTCAAGAAGAATTTGTTGTTCTGAATGGGAAGACTGAATTGAACATGTTCAATTTGGAAGAGAACAAAATAATTATCTTGCCAAAAGTTGGCAAGCTCAACGCTTACAGCAACAAAGTACTTGAAGGTTTCAAACAGATTAACAGCAACACAGGATTCTTTCTTCCCTAAAGAACAGAGTATTGAAAACTGTGTGAACAGTCAGTTTTACCAGGCTCTTAAATTAGCCTGGCTTTATTTCTTTATGTACCATTGCCAATATGTTCTTGCAATGCATCATTTCTCAGCACAGCCTTGTTTGAAGAAAAAGTGATTATAGTAAACCATAGCCACATCAAAATAGTCGATCTGATTTAAAGCATAGCTTTCTCTTCCACATGTGGCAAACAGTTCTCTTTCACGCTGCAGAAGAGGCAGGAAAAAGCTGCTATGACTATAGGACACAAAGATCTCGCTTCACCATGGACCAACACAGCACAGGAAGAAAACCTGTAATTTGTGGTACAACACAATAAGAGACACATGAGTCAAAGCAGCACATGCATCGCCAAGACTGGAGCTATTAAAATAGTGTGAGAAGATTAAAGAAAGATCAAACACTGCTTTTTATTTTCTAATAATAGAATTGAATGGATTTTTCAACATTATCGGGGTGTTTTGAACCAGAAATTTTGTCTCAAGTCCAGCTTTGCAGACAGGAAATAACTGAACTGCATTATCCATATTCCTTTAGCAGTCTGATTATTATAAAATGCTACACGTTTTTCCCTGTATGACAGGTGTCTCCTTACAAACAAAATCATTAGATATTACACATCTTCCTCTCAGGGTTTCAACTATATAGGTAGAATCACAAAACACAATCAGTTCCTCAGAAGCAAAGCAGCTGCCGTAATCCTGATGGACTCAATGCAAGAGTGAAAAGCTGTTGCTGTAGGACTAAATGCATCTAAGAAGGATGTTACTTAATTTTACCATTTTCTTCGGTCACATTTAAAAAATACGGTGTGTGGAGATTCTGATATGTAACTAAAGTAAAAAACACAGGCATGCTCACCCTCAAAACGTCTACAATTGGTGCTTGGCTTGACGTGAAAAGTGGCAACACCTCTTTGGCTAAGAGACATCTACATACAGACCTTTCAAAAAGATGACTTTAAGCCTGCAATTCTGTTGTTCCCTAATAATGTACTTTTACAGTTTCCCACCAGCCTCTGGAACATTTGTGTACTCTGATACATTAGAAGCTGGCATTGTGCATCAAGAAAAAACACAGTATGGTGAAGCAGCTTGAACTTCAAATTTAATGGGCTCATTATATAAACCCTTAACTTTCTTAATGCACGTTAACAGTAAGAACACTGACAAGCATAATTTCAACCAAAATAGCACTGTATTAAAGCTTCTTTCCCAACCGCTTCCCTTAGCAACTCATGTTCAGAGTCGAGTCAAAATAACAGGATTTATTTTACTGTTATCTTTGCTAGTATTTCAGCTGTGTTTAAAGGCATGAAAGCAATTCAAAAGGGAGACTATTTTAAACCTACTGCAGTCATTTTTCATACCCAAGGGAATTGTACTTGCTGCTGCTGCCCTTAAATTTTGGGATTCTAATATCAGCAATAATGGGATCCTTCAAAAATACCACCTTTAGAACATGATTTAGGTATGACCCCAAACCAATCTTCAGGAGGACCAAAGACTCTGTTCTGGTTTTTTTGCTTCTGAAACCATGCCTAGGGCTAATAAAATACCTTGGTAGCAGGCATGTGCTCAGTTCTCAGTGGAGAAAGTCAGTCATTTATGCAAGTAAGTTACTCAGCTTCTCTGGCCAGATTAATGTATTACCAGTCTCCTGCCTTGAAGGATAGGGATTGTTCAGTATTTCCATCAGATGACTCGAAACTAATTTCTATACTTACAAGAAGAAAAAAGACCTGACAAAACTTGCAAGCAATCTTACACTGTTGCTGTTATTCTTCTAGTAGCTGAATCGTCCAAATTCTCACCTAACTTGGTGAAGCAAGTAGGAATTTTAGTCACCATTCAGGAAGTGAAGTGTATTGAGTGCTTTCTTAATAGCTTAATTGAATGAAACGAGCTGTGAAGGTATTTGAGAGGTCTTCTGTTCAAAACTGCTAGAACAGTAACCTTTTAAGAGTACCACAACATTCTTCAAGGATGCCTCAAGAGAACACATGAAGAGATTAATCCTGGCACTCTAATCTAGTCCACTGCACCTTGTGTGTGCCACACACAAACTAATTTCAGTCTGCCATACCTGACCATGCCTGGGTACTAATCTGCAAGCGCATACCAACATTCACCATGCTTTCCGATCCACTTTGGGTATGTGGAATTTCTGAATCATTCCTAAACACACAAGAAACGGGAAGGGTCACTCCAGCAGGATGCTGCCCTAGCTTGACAGGCTTCGTTCCAGCTGCTTCATCACTCCTGCCTATCACTATATCCCGTCCTCCCCCTGCATTACAGCACTGTAGATCAATAGGAAAAACATTAACTCATGAAAGGCCAAGAGGTTTCAAATTCTTGGCAGCTGCATTTTGAAAGAAACAATTCGGGAGTAACTTTTGCAAATCAGCAAGTATCTTCTCATCCCCCTTCTACTGCTGTTCACAGCTCATAACCATTTTCTTTGTAATACATACGTATATTTAAAAATCATTATACTTCTACAAAGAAGCATGTATCCCCATGCCAGTGGATCTCATGGATGTTAATTCACGTGTTAGTAATCAACTCG